TTTAACTTCGCTACCTCAAAAACATAAAGCAAAATGGTCACAAGCTCAAAAAGAGTTTTTGGAAGAGGTTAAAAAGGACTTTAAAAACTAAATAAGAGAGATTGAAAAAAAAATTAGAAAGAATAAGAGTAATGCAAGAAAATCAAGAAAATTATAAAAAGAAAGTCAACCACTTGGAAAAAGAGACCCGAAAACTTACAGAAGAAAATAATTCCTTAAAAATTAGAATTGGGGAGGGAGAAGCTAACGACTTCATAAAACACCAAGAAATAATAAAACAAAATGAAAAACAATAAAAAACATAGAAGAGAATGTGAAACATCTCATTAGAAAAACAACTGGCCTAGAGAACAAATTGAGGAGAGACAATATAAGAATTGTTGGACTACCTGAAAGTTATAGATACTATACTTGAAGAGATTAAGGAAAATTGCCCTGAAGTTTTAGAACAAGAGGGTAAATTAGAAATAGAAAAAATCCACCAATTACCACCTGAAAGAGATGTCAAGATGAAAACTCAAAGGAACATCACAGCTAAGTTTTGAAGCTCCCAAAGTCAAGTAGAAAATACTATAAGCAACTAGAAAAAAAAAATTTAATACTGTGGAGCTACAGTCAGGATAACACAAGATTTAGCAGCTTCTGCATTAAAAGACCAAAGGCCATGGAACAATATATTCTGCAGAGCAAAAGAGCTGGGCTTGCAACCAAGAATAATTTACCCAGCAAAGCTGTGTGCTATCCTGAATGGGGAAAAAATGGGTATTTAATGAACTAAATGACTTTTAGATACTTGTGAAGAGAAGACCAGAACTTAATGGAAAATTTGACCTACCAGACTCAAGAGAAACATAAGAAAGTAAACATTAAAGACCAATTATAAAAGGTTTAATAAGGTTAAAATCTTTACTTCTTACATGTGAAAATGTTATCTGTAACTCCCAAGAATGTTATCATTACTTGAATAGTTTGAAAGAGCATACATAAATAGAAGGCTTGAGGTTGAGTTGGGTATGATGGGACGATCCTAAAAAATAAAATTTCGTAGGGAGGGGTAAAATGGAGCAATTATCTCATACAAACAAGGCATGAATGGAGGAGCTGCTACAGTGTAGGCTGGAAAGCTGGAGGGCTGGAAGTGCTTGAACTTCTCATCAGAACTAGGTAAAAGAGGGAATAACATATACATCCAAAAGGGTATAAAACTTTTCTTAACTTACAGAAAAATAGGAGGGCAAGGAAACAGGATAAGGGAGAGACTCTTAGAAGGGTGTGCAAATCAAGAAATAGGAGGGTAAGGGGAATGGCTAAACAAGTTGTGGTATATGATTATGATGGAATACTACTGTGCTGTAAGAAATGATGAGTTGGTTGATTTTAGAAAAACATGGAAAGACTTAAACGTGAAATAATCAAAAATGAAGTGAGCAGAACCAAGAGAATGTTGTATATGGTAATAGCAATATTGTTCAAAGAATAATTGTCCATTATTCTGAGTATTATAAATACTCAAACAAGCTATAAAGGACCTATGAAGATGCTATCTACTTCCAGATAAAGAACTGATAAATAGAAGTATGCATAATATAGTTTTATATATATTTACAAATTTGTGTCAAATGATGGCTTTCTCTAGCACAGGGGAAGGAAAGAGGGAGACAGTTTGAAATTTAAAATGTAACCAAAAAAATAAATCAAATTAAATTTTTGAAAAGAGATTATGAAAAGGGAGAAAAAAGACTTTTGGGACATGCTGTATATGTGGTCTGTCTCAACAGATTAGTCCAGTGCCTGGCACATTCACTAAAAGATGCTTTACAGTTTGGTTGACTGAATGATTGTTCATACCAATCCATGTCAATAGTCTGGACAATAGGTATTTTTTTAAATCTCTTTTCATTTTTCCTAGGTGATATATTAGGTTGATCATTTCTGAATAATTTTTGGATCTCAGTAAGGACAACCTTTAGTGCCTTAGGGCTTGTTGCAATTAGCATAATTCATCTAAAAACAGGAACACTTGGTGGAGCTTATCATCTATGCAGCCTTCTTCCATTGTGCAGGACGTGTTCCATTATAGTGACAAACACCTTTGGAAAACATGTCTCCTTGTTTCATACCCTGCTGGATGTTAATAATCAGGACTGTTGAGACACTTATCTCCATCCTTGCACTTATCAAGGAATTTTGTATGACCTCAATACACGCATGAAAGGTGTGTCAAAGGACATTTTGGAGGCTGTTTCCTCTTCTGAATCAAAAATTTGTGTGTGTTTATACATGTATAATCAACAATATTATATTCTCTGTACCTTCAATCAAAAACAGACTATAAAGATGTAGTCATCAGCTGCAGAGAATCATTGCAAAAGCTCCCTGCCATCTGATGGCTATATGTATTTTCTGTATCTATCTGGGAATTCCTAGGAGCCTTCTGTATGTTATGCACATTTTTGTAGGAAATAAAGGCTGTCCTGCATCTAAAAAACAAAAAACTTGCCGAGCCCTTCTCCTATTTTTAATCAAGGATAACCCTGGTATGTACTCTCATAAGGGTTTTACACAGATAAGAAAGCAACATATGGATCAGTGGTTATTGATTTTATCTCAATTATCTTAATATAGTCCATGAATTTTTCTATTCTTATAATATTTTGCTTCCCAAGATATCTTTAAATTAATTCCTCAGGGCTTTCAAAATTCTGTCACATGTAGCCATCAGAGTATACTTGATCTGGTCCAGCCATTCTTCCCAATTTTATCTTAGTAACTGTCATTTATATTTCATATGGCACATAAGATACTGTGGCATTAGGGCCTAAATGTTTCTTTAATGCTGCTTGCTGTTGAAAATGAATTACCATTGGTATGTAAATAAAGTTATTCTATATTATATCTGTTGATATATCTGGTAATTTCAACCACAACAGGGATGATATGCTCATATGAGTCTCTCTCTAAGCTTTCTGCAGACTTTGTTTCGTTCTCATTGTTTTTCACTGTTTCAAAAGCTCTATGTTTGTATTTGGTAACTCCACTAAATCCTCATTGTGGCCTTTATGTGATACTAGGTTTATAAAGGCTATGCTGGCTAAATCCAGTCATTAGCATATCTCCAGAAGACTTTCCATATAGACTTGAAGACAAAGTATATACATATCATCCAAAAGCCAGTCTAATTTAAGTTCACGAGGTCCAGAAGGTTTTCTACCAGTTAATTCCCCCCCCCCCCCCCGCAACAATAACTCATGGATACTCTCTCCACTATAGTGTAACCTAATGCCATCTTCTTTGGCAGAAAGCATAGCCATGCCAATAAAATTGTAGATCTTTTAAAAGTAACAAATTACTTAATAAAAAATGATATCTCATTGGTATACTGTTTTGGTAACCTTACTTCTCATTGGTAAAAGAAGCTCCAGTGAGGTGGCTGAAGAAGGATGATGAGGTCCACAAGAAAGCTATCCCTCTCTTCATTTTGAGCCAAGTTTCAGGAAAAAAAAATTTAAGATCATAGAGCCAGGACCAAAAATGTAGAGCTAGAAGTACCTCTGGAGGTCATCTAATCCAATCCATTCAATTGATTTTAGAGATAAGGAAACTGAAGTTCACTGAGAGTAAATGACTTGACGAAGGCCCCACAAATAATCAATATGTACTATTAGCAGACAGGGGCTTTGAAGGCAAGTCTTCTGACTCCAAATCCAGCCATCAGAATAAAGTCAAAGAAAAAATACATCCTAGTAGGAGATTCTAGTCTCTTAACTTCAATATTCTCAAATACTCAAATGGATCTGTGATTTCATTGATTCAGGAGTTCCCATCCATTCCTACCTATCTCATGCAACACGCATTCCTACTGTCTCCAAAATTCCCCACAGGGGCCATCTAATAACCTAGAGGCCTTTCTCACTTTCTCCTGAAATCAAGAGGGTATCAGGGGAACATTCTGGCTGCCCCTCTGCCTGCCATATAGCCAACCCATCTTTTCTTCTTGGCCTACAATTTCTTGATGACAAATTTTAAGACTCCTGTTACTCTTCAGAGTTCCTTGATGGTTCATCCTGTTCACACACATGCTATGCACCTTTTCATTGCCCTCTGTGTGATGCTTATCTTTAGTTTTTCAGAGACAGTGGTTTTTCCTCATCTCACTAGCACATAGCCAAACCAGAAAAATGTTAGTATTAAAAAGATGGGTCTCTGCTTTCATGTAAAACTTGGGGCATGTAAGAGTGTCCTACAATTTTCCAAAGGCAACCTAGCCTTCTTTTCTCCTTTTAAATTCTGGGCACAAATCACTGTCCATCTTTTATTGTCTTTCCAAGATATACAAACTGGTGAACAAGTTCTATAACCTCCTCTTCCAGGAGGCTCTGCAACTCTTGCAACTTAATGTAATCAACACAGAACCAAACAGGAGTGCATCTGAAGTCTCTCACTATTCCTAAGGGATCCTTCTTTGGCCTGGACTCTACACCAGATCATTACCATTATCACTATGAAGACTTTTAGCAAGTCAAACATTACTTCAATACACTGCAAGATGACCCAAGAACACAGGTGTTAGGTTGAATTCTAAGACTACCAGGAATTAAGGCTTTAAATGCAATTTAAACTAAATTTCAAAGTCTTACTTCAGGTGCTTACCACTTCTCTCAGTCTTCTTCCTCCTCTTCCCTCCCCCAGCTCTATCACCAAGCCCTTAAGTTATAGGATAATATATAAAATACGACCTCTCTCCACCCCATCCTAGACCTGACTGAAATATAACCTTAAAACTGGTCAAGCAAGGGGAAATTTGAAAACTATATAATTCCACTTTTATATTTCAATTATCTGAATTGATGATACACTGTACTTGGATTTTCACCATACAGCTTTTAATGACTGTCTTCATAGTCATAGACTATAACAATAAAATATGCTGAGAGAAAACAAAACACAATTACAATGTTCAATTGAAGCCATGTAAAGTGACTGATTAGATTTATTTCTACCTTCAAGTGATATAAGATTATTCCAGTACTCAGAAGGTCATCATCAATGCCAATCAGATGAGGCAGCTCAGAATCTAGAACAACTCCAATTCCTTCTTTCCTCAGGGCTAACGTTTGTTCCTAAAATGAGAAGGGAAAAAAAATTTTTTTTTAAAAAAGGTTAAATTTATTTGAAAGAAAAGTCAACTGAAAAAGAAAAGCCAACTGAAATGTTTAAAGGGAAAACTACATTCTTTAAATAGAATGTTTAAATGCCTCATGATTTACTTTTCATTAAAAACCAGGAAAGCATGGTGAAAGTGTGGTTATAAATTTCAATTAGAAACCCCATTGCATGCTGGAATTATTCATGATATTTATTTTCACATTCAACTGTAGCAGATAAAATCTACTAAACTTCCAGAGCTACCTTATGTCTAAATCTTTCAAGGCCTAGATTAAATGCTATTTCCTCAACTAAACTTAGAATACACCAGATAAAAGTGATGTCTCCCATCCCAGAAGGGAATTGACACAGCAAGGTCACATGTCTGTCAGACCATGAACCTAAGTCTTCTGATTCTACTTCCAGGGTGTTTTCCACTCCACTCTCTTTTTAGCACAAGGCCTTTCATACAGTTTATTCAATAAAACACTGCTGATTGATCACACATCAAAGACAAAATAAATATCACCTGTTTTTCTACCAGATAGTGCAGTAACAGTAAGGGAAATCAAACAAAGAAGGGCTTGGAAACCCTACTCTGCTGGCCAGAAAGGTGGGGGGGGGGGGCACAGGGCGAAGGGTATCATCAGATGAATGCTGTTTTCCACCAAACAGCGAAGAAGAAATGAAAAATGGGGCTTTTTCAGACATAAGTGGTTGCAGGATATGTAGAGCTCATAACAAAGATTGCAAAATGTAAGTATCAGCCTCTTTCAGACTTCTAAGAAGCTCCATTTGCACCACATAAAATATCTGTTTCAGACTCTGCTCAGTGTGAAAGAATTGTAAAGAAGCATTTTAGCCTTTTAGGAGGTAAGAATTGGTTCCTTAACCAACTTGAGTGGAGTATAGGGTTTAGGCCATCGGATAGGTATATTACACAGTCGAGAGATAGATATATAGATAGATATTACACACTCTAGAGCAGCACTTCTTAAACTGTGGGTCATGACGCCATATGAGGCTGCACACCTGAATGTGAGGGTCACGAAAAATTTGGCAACAGTAAAAGGTTTCTGAACACACAAGGACTAAAAAATTAATTCAAAATCAAACACATAATGAATCCAAGGTTTTTCCAGCAGTGCTTGCCAGACTTCACTGCAGCCTTGGTTCTGATCATACAACATGTGCACTTTGCACTGTGCATGCCGTCACACAATGCCAGCAAACGCTGCCAGAAACACCTCAGCTCAGATTCAAGACTATTGTATGTTATGAATTGCAGTGTTTTTACTGTACATACAAAGTTTTCTAATCTTACAGAAACATAATAATTTAATTAAGGAAAATAAAGCCATTTAATATTTTCCTACCATCATTCCTCAGCATGTATCAAATTACTATACCTTTGGATTGTACTGGGTTAGAATGTTTGATTTTTAAAATTGCTGTTATTGCCTTCTTTTCCAGAAAAATAAGTGTTTGCTTGCAGCAAATAAAGACAAAAGCCCTTTAATAATATTTCTCCACCATCATCACTGTATGTATATGTAAGTGTGAACATCAATTTTTTTAATTAAGCACAAACAAATGTAATTTCATGAACTAAAGCTAGTATTTACTTGAGAAATTATTAGCAACATTTATATTTTAGGACAAAAATATTTTTTGGTTATGGATAAGTGATTAAATTTAGACAGAAAAGGTAAAAATACTGATGACAATGCAGCAGAGTCTTTGCTACCAGGTTGGAATACACCTAAACTGACAAGAAAAAGAAAATATGTTGAATCATTTTTTCAATATGGGATTTACTCTAATAATGATGAAAGTGTGGAAAAACCTCTTTGCTTAATCTGTAATGAAGTTTTGGCTGCGGAGAGCATGAAATGAGCCAAACTAAAATGACATCTTAATATCAAGCATGCAGCATACTGCAATAAACCAAAGAAACATTTTGAACAACTTTTAAAATCTTCAAAGAAAAACAATGTTTTGAAAAATTTGTTACTGTCAACAAAAAGTATTTACTTGCAGCTTACAAAACTTGTGCAAAACCTAAAAAGCCCTACGTAATAGATCTCTTGTTCCCTGCTATTAAAATGTCAGAAATAGTTCAAGGGAAAAAGAATGGGGATAAAATTCATAAAATTCCTTTATTGAATGATACTATTTCCAAAAGAATTTCTGAAATAAGTAATGACCATTTCCAGCAGCTTATTACCAGGCTTAAGGGCAGCCCAAAGTTTGCGATTCAGTTAGATGAAACAACTGATATTTCTAACATGGCACAGTTGTTACTATATGTAAGATATGTTTTAAAGGAAGCTTACATGAGGAATTATTTTTTTGTTGCCCTCTGGAAGGGCACACAACAGAGGAAGATACACACACACACACACACACACATATCTTCAAGTTGTTGAATTTTTCACAAATCAAGGCTTACAGGGGAAAAATTGCATTGAAGTCTGTACAGACAGTGCGGAGGCAATGATGGGCTTGAACGCTGTATTGGTAGCAAAAGGTAAAGCTGGTGGCAATGAACTTATCACTTTTACTCACTGCATGATCCATCAGGAGGCACTTGTAGCCAAAAAAATATCACCAGAGTTAGATGTTGTGCTTCAAAATCATTAACTTCATTAAAAGTCATGTCCTTAACAATCATTTCTTTTCAAACCTTTGCAAAGACATGGACTCTGATGACAAAAGCTTATTACTCCATGCAGAGGTGAGGTGGCTCTCTGGAGGGCGAAGTTTAAACAGATTACTGAAGTTCAAAGATGAAGTTGTTATATTTCTGACTGAGCAGAAATCTGATTTTGTTAATTTTTTTCATAATGACTTGTGGCTTTCAAAACTGTGTTATTTGTCAGATTTTAAAAAACTTAATGATTTAAACATGTCACTTCAAGGAAAAAAACTGAAACCTATGTATGTTAAAAGATAAAATTGAAAGTTTTACTACAAAAGTTAACATATGGAAGAACAGGGTGGAAAATGGTTCTTTAGAAATGTTTACAGCTACAGAGGATTTTATAATTGAAAATAACCTTCCCAAAGATTTAATTGTAAGAGTTACAATTGATCATCTGAAGTGCCTGGAGACACAGCTTCAGAAATACTTCCCTTCAAATTGATTCTAAAAAACTAAGTTGGGCTCATAAACCATACTCAAATGAAATCAGAAACCTCAATCATCTACTATTAAAAGTTCAAGAAGAATTTGCCTAATTATCAAACAACAGGTTTAAAACTTGAGTTTCCTAAAAAATCATTAAATGAATTTTGGCTTGGAATTAGGACAGAATTTCCAACAATTTCTGAAATGGCCCTAAACATACTTCTGCCATTTTGTACTACATATTTATGTGAAGTGGCCTTCTTAGCACTGATGATTATAAAATCAAAATACCGATCAACTCTGAAAAAATATTGAAGATGCTCTAAGTCCTGCAGTATCAAATATTCTTTTTTTTAGTATCAAATATTCTGCCAAGATTTAATCCTTTATGTAAAAATAAACAAAAACATTCATCTCATTAGTATGCAAATTTGCTTTCATCTTTAATAAATGGTAAAATTACATGGATACCAAAGAACTATTTTATAATAAATTCCTTCATGATTTAATTTCAGTAAATGTTTGATTTGTACATCTATTTTATATACCTATATATCTGGGGTTGTATAAAATTTCTCAAGCGAAAAGGGGTTGTGAGTGGAAAAAGTTTAAGAAGCCCTGGTCTAGAGAATAACGAAAATGATCAGTTATGCACTTATCAGTGGTTATTATTGTTTTCAGTCCTATCCAACCCCTTTTTGGGGGTTTTCTTAACAAAGATACTAGGGTGGTTTGCCATTTCCTTCTCCAGTTCATTTTACAGAGGAGGAAACTGAGGCAAACAAGGTTAAATGACTTGTCCAGGGTCATACAGATAGTGTCTGAGTCAGGATTTGAACTCAGGTCCTCCTGACTCCAAGCCAGGCACTCTATCCAGGGCCTCACCTAGCTGACCCTTAGGCCTGTATAAACACAAACCAAAAAATTCTTTGAGAGTAGTTCTGGCCATCAAGTAGAGAGCCAGCGACAGAGGAAGAATCCAGATCAGAACAGGAAATCACTCTTCCAGAGCTGATCTGATCAGGCCCAGGGAATGACACGACCAGCAGACACCAGAAGGGAGTAACATGAGGTCACCCCAAGAATCACTCAGTCAATAAACATAAGCTTACTAAGTGCCAGGCACTGTGCTACATGTCAGAGATACAAAGAAAGGCAAAAGACAGGCCCTGCTCTCAAGGAGCTCGCAATCTAATAGAGGCAACAACATGTGAATGACAATGTACAAACAACACATATGGGGAAAACTGGAGGTAATCAACAGAGGGGAGGTAGGATAAATAAGGGAGGTTGGGAAAGGAGAGAGAAAAAACACTCAAGTGTGGTAGTACCAGCAATGTGAGCCATCATGTGTGTTCCCTATATGCCTGCCTCTCTGCTAGTGTGTTCTGGGTGTGGCCACTCTTTCTTCTGATGGGGTATACATTTACAGCAAAGTGCATGGCAGGTTCATAGGAGCAGTTTTGTTACTCACTTCCCACCTGGCTGCACTCATCTGGATGTGCCCCAGGAATCTCAGCATCCTACAAGATCACTTCACCTGGAACTCACCCCTCATCAGGGTCCCCTGTCCCTAGGGCCACAGCCTCTGACTGGAAAGGAGAGAGATGGAGAACTCCTCTCGGAATTTCCATTTAAGGAGGGAGCCCAGGCCAGCTATCACTTCATTTCCCACACAGCTGCCCTCTTCTAAATTTCATCATCATGCCCCGCCCTCACCCCCTTCAGCTTTTGTATGTGGTCTTACCCGAGTGAGCAACGTCAGGACAGGAATTGGAATATTCTTTTCTTTTTTTTTTTCGTTTTCACTTTTTTTTGGTATTCCCAAAAAAATTTGGTATTAGC